CTCAGGCTAGGACTCCCAATGGTAGGAATATCTACCCCAAAACTAGGTCACTAGACTGGAAATTAAAAATATACAAGGAGGCAGAACAAGTGATGGCAACGGTAAAGATAAATAGAAACAGATAGTTTAACACCATCCAGCTGTACTCATGGGCAACATCTAGTGTATGGAGAACACCTATTATAAAAAGGTCATTTCCTTTGAGCCCTAGGAATTAGGATGGAAAGGAAAAGTACTGGGACTCAAAGAGAACTAAGTTAACTGTGATTTTCTTTCGGCCTGGACCACTCCCCCACTCTCTGCCCACTACCACCCTTAGCTTTATAGGACTCATATCTCTAGCCACAGGAAATAAATATTTGAGGCTGAAATTCTAAGATAAAAGCTCTAGAGAAGAAAGCAGAAAAGAGATAATACGGGAATACGTCATCACCAGGTGAAACCGGAAGACTCACTGATAAGAGGGACTTCCAAGTCCACAAGAAAATGAATTAGATTACATCTTCCTATAGACTCACTCAGGTGATGAAGATGGCTCTGTCTACGCCAACAAGAGGGAGACCATCTAATTGCAAACCTGAAAATAGTACCATATGACAAAAATCTGTACAAATAGAAAGGGGATTTATGGTACATCGAAATAGAAGTACTCTTACGGTGATGAGAATTGGACGAATACAAGAACTAATTGATACACAATTATCTAACAGCATCCAAAGGGTAGAAGCTCTGTATCTGTTGATGCTATCAATTAATTCATTCTTCAGTTAGCCAATATTTAATGTGCAACCACTGTGTGCCATGTACTGTGTAATGTACAATACATACATGTTTCCTGACTGTATGGAACTCACAGTTATAGGCATAACAGGAATTTTAGAAATCTGTACATAAGTATAGATGTAGATTATAAAAACATATTAATTGCAACATTTCCTTTTGTCTTGGACTTGGAAGAGAGCCTTCAGTACATGAGAACCCATGGAGAGAGTCCACAATACATGCTTGGGTACACTTCCAAAACATATATGAGGTGCATTTGTTCAACTTTCCTTAGCCTATTATGCAGAGTAATGATATATGAGAAAACTGATAATTCACTGAAGAGTTAGAGCAAAGAGAAGTGAAGCTGTGATGGTGTGTCTTCCTCAATCTTCCTCAAGCCAAGTTAGAGGAGATTCAGAAGATTGGCTCAGAGAGTTTGAAATGAATCCCCTGGAGTTTGGAGGATTTAGAGGGTCACACTAGGCGGCAGTGACAGTTTCTCTCACTTTACTGTACTTATGGCCAGACTGCTGATTACTCTGTTATTTTTATCTCTGTGTATATGTGACAGAAAGGTGGCTCATACTTGTTAAATTGAGTGAGAAGCTAGAGAAAGTAGATGATGAGGTATGACACAGAGTCATGTATACATGAGTAAAATGTCAGAGAGAGAGAGAATAACACAAAGAGAGGACACAGTCTAGAGCTAAACCTTGCAGACGCGCAGTAGTTAATGACTGGAAGGGAGGTGAAGGTGTGTGCATGAGTGAGAGAGGAAACAGCCCAAGAAGTAGGTACAAACCTCCGAGAGTGTTTTGTCAAAGAAGCTGTTTCTCTAAGAAAGAGAGAAACTTTCTCTAAGGACGAGAGGATTTGAAGCAAGAGTAAATGGTCACAGCTCATGTCTAAAGTTTCTGAGAGGTCAGCAATGATGAGGTTTGGAAATTTCGGTTGATTTACAACAGCAAGGTTATTAGCACTCTTTGAGGGCTTAGCTACTGGAGGAATTAAAGCCAGATATATGTATACCCTTTAATCCAGAAATTCTAATATATATGCCCAATAGCAGTGTGTAAATATGTTCACCAAAGAACGTGTAAAAGAATATTCATAATAACACTATTGATAACAGCCGAAGGCAGGAAAAATCCAAAGAACCATTTAAGCAGGTAGCTAAATAAATTCTGGTATGTTCATACAGCAATGAGAATAAACAAACTAAACTGTATACAACATGGATGGCTCTTAGAAATATGATATTAAGAAAAGAATCCAGATAGAACAAACTATATTATTTTAGTTGTGTAATGTCCAAAACTGGGCAAAACCAATCTATCTATGGGACTGTGGTTTCCTTGGAAGGATGGTAGTGACCAGAAGGGGATAAAACAGAGCTTCTGAAGAGCAAAACTACAAGCAAGAAAGAGCAGCAGACCTAGCTTCAGTCTCTGGGAGCTCATGAATTGTTTAAATGAAGCTTCACAAAGTCCCTTTTTTAACACCAGGACAGATTTGGGGTTCAGTATGACAAGCATCAACTATAGCAAAACAAGTTGCAACAGGGAAGTCATTGAGGTTTGGGGTCTTTCAGGTTTTTCTAATCACGTCCAAGAGATCCAACATTAGTTGACTGCCATTTTCCAATCAGATATATCCCATGTCCATAAATTCTAGTTTATTTGCAATGAATAATCTAGATATACCCTGGATGTCCTGCTAAGGTCATTCTGGATAAGAACTTAGTACGGAACAACTCCTCAAAACTCCTCTTTACTTTTCAAGTATAAATGAGATTACTGTATCCACAAAGAGGTCAGCTCAGGAAACCCCAAAGGCCTCAGGTGACCTCAGAGGAAGCAGAAAACAAGTTCCAGGCACACTGTTAATGCATTCCTTCCCAGATGGCATTTATTGGCAAAATAATATGATGGAGATATTGGAAAAATTAGAGTTATGTGACAATCAAGAAAATTTAAAAAGGCGATTATGATTAGACAGCTCATTGATTAAGGAGACGGGATATGATTTGGGGGATGTTAGGGATCAAGTAGAGACTAGTGACCGTGATTTTACAACGGCTCCAGTTTGAGCCGGTATGCATGTTATCCAAAACATTTTAGAAGATTTCTCAGACTTTAGAAGTACAAATAGATTGAAATAATTGTGAAACAAGATAGGTCATAGATTATTTTCGGTCTCGTGTTTTTTAAAATGTTTGCTAAATTTTGGAAATCCTCCTTTGAGTACCTCTCGCCAATGCCGCTTCCTGCACCAGATTCTAAGATACATTTTTCCTGCTTCAGATCGTTGATTTATTCGCTTGTAAACTATTTACATCTATTTTCTTCATTAAAAGTTGTCTCTGAAAGACTTTACTTACTTCCAGTACGTTTTATGAAATTTAACTGTTTAATTACTTCATGACTTGGCTACATAAGTCTATCGTGTTCTCCCTCCCTCTCTCTCTCTCTCTCTCTCTCTCTCTCTGTCTCTCTCTCTCTGTCTCTCTGTCTCCTTCTCCCCAACACACACACACACACACACACATGCACACGCACACACACACACTTATGCTTTCTTTTCTGGAAAGTTGTTCTGTATTGGGATCATTGTTTTTTGTATAGTAGGGATAGAAAATCCTTACACAAGGAAGAATATCTTTCTTTGTGGAATTCCAGATGACAACATATCCACCAGGTTAATTGCCACCTAATATCACCACGCAATAGCACAGAGACATTACTCTTTTAGATGTTATATTACAGCTGCTCTGAACATATGTGGTACAGAATTGTCTGAAATTGAGGCCATCTGGAGTCATTAGGAGCTAAACTGTAAATCAAAGCCTTGATGTAAGAGAATTTACTGTAACAGGCAAAATATGAGTGTTTAGTAGTTGTAGAGTGAAAATGTGCTGTACTCCAGGGTCACAGAAATGATCAGGGAGCCCATACCAGAAAGACTAAAGGTAAATTCCTATTCACCTCCTGGGAATTATCAAGGAAATCATCAAAGACCTGTGTGTTCATTCCAGCATTATTTGTTACTGTGAGTAAAACAATCTAAAAGGCTAGTAAAACGGAATTTGCCAAAAAAGTATTGTAAAATCATACATTGAGGGCTTCCCTGGTGGCGCAGTGATTGAGAATCTGCCTGCTAATGCAGGGGACACAGGTTCGAGCCCTGGTCTGGGAGGATCCCACATGCCGCGGAGCAACTAGGCCCCTGAGCCACAACTACTGAGCCTGCACGTCTGGAGCCTGTGCTCCGCAACAGGAGAGGCCGTGATAGTGAGAGGCCCGCACACCGCGATGAAGAGTGGCCCCCACCTGCCACAACTAGAGAAAGCCCTCGCACAGAAACGAAGACCCAACACAGCAAAAATTAATTAATTAATTAATAAACTCCTACCCCCAACATCTTCTTAAAAGAAAATCATACATTGGAATATCGCTATTAGAATGTGTGGTATTGATCTGTAAATAATGCTGTGCAAATAATTATTTCACAATATACTGTTGGGTTAAAATGCAGAATGGAAAACATCCTATAAGATGTGATTCTGTAGCAGAGTTTTTCCTGACTAGTAGAATTTTTGAGTTGTTCTGTTTTGTTTTTAGTATTACTTCTTTGGAGATTCTATTTTATCTGCATTCAACTTGCATATAGAGAATGTGATCAGGTAATGGGGCTGGTTCTGAGCAAATTGAAGAGCTTCATTCCTCTTTGGTGTCAAGACTTGTGGTGACATTTATTCTATGTACCTCATTCCAAGTCATTCATGGCACAGCATGAGACAATGGGACAGGGAGAGTCCAAGAAGTGCCATTTAACAGATACTTCAGATCTAACATAATGACAGGACTTAGTCAGCAATGCATAAGTATTTGTGCAGTGAACCTAAAAGTCTAAGAATTCAGGTGCAGATTTGGCCAAATATTACTGAATTTTTTTAAACCAAATCACTTGCTTTAACATAATCACCATAAAAAAGTTTTAAATTTTTTTTGGCAAATGATCTACTTCAAGATGAAGAACTGAAGATAGAGCTGCTTTTGATGGATGACACTTTTAGAGATGTTCTCTGAGCCAGAGAGAGAGCATTTTCCTTAGAGTGAGGTTTCCACTTCTAACTCCCCTGCCTCGCTGACACGGCCCCTGCCTTGTCGTGTCCTTACCGAGAATCTCACTAAGGTTTTCATAGCTGGGGGACACCTCACGTTGAGATCTGAGGTTTATGTGGGGTTCCCACAGGGACCTGAATCACTGTGGTCTCTCAGAGCACAGAAATACCCTACTGAGTCCCCAAGCTGCAAGCTTGTGATGGTAAGGCTGATGGAACTGGCCGTTTTCTGGAAGTTCAAAAACTACCGACCCTCTGTTGTATTCACTCATTGTAAGACTCCTGATGAATAAGGAAAATCATTTCCCCACTTGGTGTTTGTACCAGAATAAATAATAACTGCAACTACTAGCTTCATATACACAATCCCAGGTTACATCCTCCTCCAGCATAGAAATTTCTGGCTGGTCTTGAGTTACTCTCTGGGCTGTGATGGATCCTGGAGAGAAGAAAAAATTTTATATATATAATATATATGGAGAGAGACAGACAGAGAGACAGAAAAAATTAGGCTGATTCCCCTGGTGGAACCCCGAGGGCTGCAAGAAACAAACATAGGACTAAGACTTCTAATTCCTCTACCCACTACTCAACTCTCCTACACACCACCAGACAATAATAACCTGCCCCACCCCCAAACATGGGAGCTGAGTGGAGCTGCCTCTGTGGCCATCCTTACCAGCCTTACCAAGGCAGACGGAGGCTATGACAACTCTCAGCAGGCCAGGGAACCCCATGTTGGAAGCTCTTCCTCTGAGTGAAATGTGCTGTGTTCTGTCTCAGATTCAGGTCTAAATGCCTTCCGTGTGCCTGACAGGGCACGTGCACAAGTACTGAAGTGTGAGATGCTTCTGCAGCAGAACAGGAAATGTAACTTGCTGCTATCAGTTTGCCTGTGGCACATGATGGCTTGTTGACATGGTTAGTGAATCTAACCTGCCTATTTAGACTTTATTGTAATTAAGTTGACAACAATTATATCAGTGCTGCAGCCATATTCAGCCAATGCATCTAGGATAGACATAGGTTTTATAACTAATACAATTTGTTATCATTATGGTGACTTCTGAGAACAAATAGTCATCCATGTTTTTGTATGGCATTTTTTTGTTTTTTGTTTTTGACCTGCAACCAAAGTCGACAGTGAAATAAGCTCACAGATTCTTCTTCCAGACAGGAAGATCAAACTATTTACCCTCAGTCATCATAACTTTTCTTCCTTCACTCCAAGGCGTTGGTTCCTGGGGAAATTTACATTGGATAAAGTTCCTTGTCTGCTTAATGCTATCATAGCAAGTTTCCTGGTGGGCAAAATTTGTCCAGCTGTACATGTCTAATGCCAATCAACAGTCAGTGTGTGCTAGAAAAACCTTGCTTTCAAGTATCCCATCCTATAGTCAAAATGAATGCAAAATCACCAGACCATGCATTCCTAGTTCCTTATATCAAAAATGTAGCCATTCAAAAATCACAAATGCCTTTTCCTCCCACTGCTGCAGCAGCTCTGGCTCATTTCACTGAGAGCAGCGCCTCAACAGCGTTACGTCTCAGCCGCGTGAAAATTTGTGTGTGATTTGCTTGGCATCCCTGTGCTGATTTATGATTGTGATTCAGCTGATGCAGCTTTTAGTCATCTATTCCTTTCCTCTTCCCTAAGTGAATATATTAATATCGTGCCATCTAACATCCATCTTACATTAAGAGAAAATAGATGTTTTTGAAAGTCAGTCTAGAGAAGGGAGGAGTCTTTCTGGCTGAACAGGGACACTTCTGGGGAGCAGAGCTTGGGTCTTCTTTAAGACTGACATCCACCCTATTCTCCCTGAAGAACAAGTCCCAACCTCCTGGGTTTCTAGGAATTAGATCTGAGCTTGATTTGTTTTCCTGAAAAGCTCTAAATAAACTGAACACTGCCCAAGGAGAGAATATACCTCTTCCTCCCAAGGCTGCTCACTTCAGCCCTCCTGCTCCCCTTGGGTTTGTGTTCAGCTCCCCCTGCAGCCCCTCTCACCGTGTCACTCAGAGCACAGTAGTACACAGCCGAGTCTGATGCTTGCACTGAGGGCTTCTGCAGGTGGAAGGAGCTGTCACTCGTAACAAGTGTGGCCTGAAAACCTTGATGCTCTGCCTTCCGGTTTGCCTTCGACCCCTTCAGGAGGAGTTGCGGAGCTTTGTGGAGATACTGGACGTACCAGAAAAGATAGGGATTTGAACCAGAGGTCTGGTAAGTGCAGTGCAGGGTCCTAGGCGCCCCCTCTGAGACAGTCACTGGGCCTTCTGTCTGGGTCACTGAGTCTCCATTGGTCCCTCCTACAAGAGAATCACTTTTTTATGTTATAAATGGACAGAAGGAGAGTTTTCAGCCAGAGAAGAAAACTAAAAGTTACCTGTAATTATAGGAAAATGAAAAATCATGAACATTTAAGATAAAATGGTACTTACTGAATATTAAGAAGATCACAAGAACAGAGTGAGTGGCAGAAAACATGTTGGCAACGGTCCTTGCTCCCTAGAATACACTAAATCTAATGGGGCTAGTTTGCAGCTGAATATTGTAGAAACTCCTCACTTAGAAACTGAGAGCCCCTTTCTGCACAGCAACAGTAATCTGTCTTGTGGCTACAAAGTAAACAAGTCAAACCAGCACTTGAAAAAAAAGAGGAACCACGTTTGTAGGAAACCCCGCCCTCTGGTGGTCATCCTGAAAATTGCAGCTCAGCTATATCTGACCTCTTTCTCCTGATAAAATATTAATAGCTTGAGGCATAGATAAAGGAGAATGGGACAGGACTCAGAAGAGAGCTCTAAACACGAGCATGCTTAGGGAAATATTCAGTTGTTGCTTCCGTCATTTTCTGCATGGTACAAGTATCTCTAGCTACCCAAATAATCCCAGGCAGAATTTGTAACTGGAATAGTCAGAGGTCTCTTCCTTGCATATGTCTCCATGACTGCCATGGGTAAGAGAGGGATTCATCTGCCTAGAAAGTGCTCCCTAATCTCCCCAAATCCTTTGCCTGGGTTACTATTCATCCCCAAGACTCATTCAGCATGCCACAGAGGAAACATTACCTAAGGCAGGTCTCAAATACTGTGTGGTTGGTTGCAAAGGTTTTTATCCCTATCCATCATGAAATGACATATTTGTAAAATACAACAAAAACAAATGACTGTAACTTCTTCACTGAGGAAGGTAGAGTTGACCTTCCTTCCAACTGGAAAACTGGACAAACTATATGAAACAACTTTTGGACATTGGACTAGAGGTAGCACAGAGATAAGGAAAACAGATGAGGTGAGCCCGAACATTGCCCAGCTTACTTCATGGAGGCTGCTTCTCGGCACCAGTGCAGGAGGGATTTACCAAAAATAGCCCAGCTGTCTCACTGTGAGATTGAGAAGGAATAGGAGATTGGGGATCTTAAAGCACCTAGAATTTGTGGGCCAGTGTACCGGAGTGGAGGGACGTGTACAAAAAGAGAGAGAGATAATGACAGGGGGGTCACTGTGAATCCTGTGCGGAGTACTAATCTGCAACAAAAGAGAGAAAACTCATCGAGTTTGGTAAACCACCCTGAAAGGGCCTCCTTTGGGCCCATGAACCATACTTAGATAACAGCAGCCTTACACCTTTAGCCTTATGAGGGATAGGTGACCTTACTTAGGTGTCTTGGTTCTTGAAACACCTTTTCTTTTATTTTTTATACAGCAGGTTCTTATTAGGTATCTATTTTATACATATTAGTATATATATGTCAGTCCCAATCTCCGAATTCATCCCACCACCACCGCCTCCCACCCCGCTTTCCCGCCTTGGTGTCCATATATTTGTTCTCTACATCGTGTCTCTGTTCCTGCCTTGGAAACTGGTTCATCTGTACCATTTTTCTAGATCCCACATATATGCGTTAATATATGATATTTGTGTTTCTCTTTCTGACTTACTTCACTCTCTATGACAGTCTCTGGGTCCATACACGTCTCTACAAATGACCCAATTTCGTTCCTCTTTATGGCTGAGTAATATTCCATTGTATATATGTGCCACATCTTCTTTATCCATTCGTCTGTCAGTGGGCATTTAGGTTGCTGCCATGACCTGACTTTTGTAAACAGTGCTGCAATGAACATTGGGGTGCATGTGTATTTTTGAATTATGGTTTTCTTTGGGTATATGCCCAGTAGTGGGATTGCTGGGTCGTGTGGTAGTTCTACTTTTAGTTTTTAAGGAACCTCCATACTGTTCTCCATGGTGGCTCTATCAATTTACATTCCCACCAACAGTACAAGAGGGTTCCCTTTTCTCCACACCCTGTCTAGAATTTGTGGTTGTAGATTTTCTGATAATGCCCATTCTAACCGGTGTGAGGTGATACCTCATTGTAGTTTTGATTTGCATTTCTCTAATAATTAGTGATGTTGAGCAGCTTTTCATGTGCTTCTTGGCCATCAGCATGTCTTCTTTTTAGAAATGACTATTTAGGTCTTCTGCCCATTTTTGGATTGGGTTGCTTGTTTTTTTAATATTGAGCTACATGAGCTGTTTATATATTTTTTAGATTAATCCTTTGTCCGTTGATTCGTTGGCAAATATTTTCTCCCATTCTGAGGGTTGTCTTTTCATCTTGTTTATAATTTCCTTTGCTGTATAAAAGCTTTTAAGTTTCATTAGGTCCCATTTGTTTATTTTTGTTTTTATTTCCATTACTCTAGGAGTTGAGTCAAAAAAGATCTTGCTGTTGTTTATGTCAAAGAGTGTTCTTCCTATGTTTTCCTCTAAGAGTTTTATTTTGTCTGGTCGTACATATAGATCATTAATCCATTTGAGTTCATTTTTGTGTATGGTGTTTGGGAGTGTTCTAATTTCATTCTTTTACATGTAGCTATCCAGTTTTCCCAGCACCACTTATTGAAGAAACTGTCTTTTCTGCAACGTATATCCTTGCCTCCTTTGTCATAGATTAGTTGACCATAGATGAATGGGTTTATCTCTGGGCTTTCTATCCTGTTGCATTGATCTGTATTTCTGTTTTTGTGCCACTACCATACTGTCTTGATTACTGTAGCTTTGTAGTATAGTCTGAAGTAAGGGGACCTGATTCCTCCAGCACCATTTTTCTTTCTCAAGATTGCTTTGGCTATTCAGGGTCTTCTGTGTTTCTATACAAATTGTGAAATTTTTTGTTCTAGTTCTGTGAAAAATGCCATTGGTAGTTTGACAGCGATTGCACCGAATCTGTAGATTCGGTGCAATCCCTATCAAGCTTTCGGTACTATAGTCATTTTCACAATATTGATTTTTGCAGTCCAAGAACATGGTATATATCTCCGTCTGTTTGTGTCATCATTGATTTTTTCATCAGTATCTTATAGTTTTCTGAGTACAGGTCTTTTGGCTCCTTTGGTAGGTTTGTTCCTAAGTGTTTTATTCTTTTTGATGTGATGTTAAATGGGATTGTTTCCTTAATATCTCTTTCTGATCTTTTGCTGTTAATGTGTAGGAATGCAAGACATTTCTATGCATTGATTTTGTATCCTGCAACTAAACCAAATTCACTGATTAGCTCCAGTAGTTTTCTGGTGACATCTTTAAGATGATCTATGTGTAGTAGCATGTCATCTGCAAACAGTGACAGATTTACTTCTTCTTTTCCAATTTGGATTCCTTTTATTTCTTTTTCTTCTCTGATCTCAGTGGCTAGGACTTCCAAAACTATGTTGAATAAAAGTGGCGAGA